GTCCTGCAGGCTGACGCTCCATGTTGGTTAACTTAACTGTCAGCTCCACACAACCTAGGCTCACCTGGGAAGAGCGTTTTCATGAAGTATTAGCTCCGTCATGTTGGCCTGGGGGTGTGGTCTTGATTCTTACCTGATGGAGGAAGACCTAGCTCATTGGCCTGGTGCTTTCAAGGCAGGGGTCCTGAACAGTGCAAGGGAGGAGGAAGCTAACCAAGAGTAACAAACAGTCTGGATGTGGTGGCCCTGGCCTTGAAGACCAGAACTCAGGTGGCAGGGGCACGTGGAGCTCTGTGAAGCTAGAGGTCAACCAGGGCTACATAGTGAGACTTTGTCTCAAGAACTTAAAAATAAACCAAGCAAGAGTGATGGCATTTTATTTCTCTTTTCTTTCTTTTATCCCCCATCCTTTTTTAGAAAATAATTTACTTTAACTTTATTTTATATGCATTGGTGTGAAGGTGTCGGATCCTAGGGAACTGGAGTTATAGACAGTCGTGAACTACCATGTGGGTGCTGGGAATTGAACCCAGGTCCCCTGGAAGAGCAGCCGGTGCTCTTAACCACTGAGCCATGCCTCAGCCCCTCCTCCTTCTTTTGACATGATCTCACCATGTGGCTCTGGCTGGCCTGGAACTCACTAAGTACAACACACTGGCCTTGAACTCACAGAGATCCGCCTGCCTCTGCCTCCCCAGTGCTGGGATTAAAGGTGTGAAGCATCATTCCTGGCCTCAAACTCGGTTCCTCTGCTCTTGACTGTGGTGTGATGTGACCAGGGCTCACCCTCCTGCCACTGTGACTTCTCTGCTGTGATGGACAGAGGTAAACGTCTTTCCCCTGACTTTCTCTTTGTCAAGTTTTTGTTTTGTTTGTTTGTTTGTCTGGTTTGGTTGGTTTTTCGAGGCAGGGTTTCTTTGTAGCTTTGAAGACTGTCCTGGAACTAGCTCTGTAGACCAGGCTGGTCTCAAACTCAGAGATACGCCTGCCTCGGTTTCTGTGCTGGTATTAAAGGCGTGCGCCACCACCACCTGGCTTTTTCAGTTTGTTTTTTTGTCAAAGTCAAAGAAATGAAAGGAGAAGAGGCGTGAGAGGGTCTGTCGGGATGGAAGTGTTGCTCTGGAGGAGTGGCACAGCCTCCCTGTCTCTACTTGTTGACCGCGCCCTCTGAGGACTGTATATGGAAGAGGAGATGAGGCCCAGTGCAGAGTTCGTGCCCCGGCTCTGGCACAGACTCCTGAGTGCCTGGGGCTAAGTCACTGCTGTCTCTGAGCTCCAGTTAACCGGCCTTTAAAATGAAGGAGCCCTCTCGTGCAGGCTTGAGGCCTTCATAAATCTTTCCCATCCCAGGAGGAAGAGTAACGGCTCTGGGCAGTAGGGAAGCAGGGAGCATTTATGGGAAAGGCTCCAGGTGTTGACACAGGCGGTCAGATCACAGCGACAGTCAAACCACCTTTCCTTTCTGCTGCTTTTGTGATGCTGGGTACCAAACCCACAACCTCAGGTATCCTAAGCAAGCATTCCGTTCCACGGAAACCTTGCGACCCGCTTTGACTGGGTGGTAAGACCCTAGCCTTGCAGGGACACAGCCACTAACACACTGAGTGCGTCACTGCAGTAGTAAGGCCTAGGCGGCCACATGCAGTGCTGAGGAAACATTGGTTTATTTCACCACCCCGAATCACGGCCCCTTCATGGTCTGCCTGTCTTTCTTTAACTGATTTTGTCCAAGCTGTTACTGGTGGTCAGAGGACAGCTTCCAGAACACAGTCCTCTCCTTCTACTGAGTGTGATTCAGGGACAAAACTTCATCAGCCGGCTTGGTGCAAGCACCTTTACTCTCTTACTAGCTCTGCTGCAGGGTCCTCCCTGCAGGTAGAGCGGGGGAAAGGCTGGTGAAGCTGGCCTCTTCCTGGGGGCTGAGCAGGATGGTGAGTGTTGATGACTCAGACCCTCTCCCCATTAATTACGGGGGGGGCACACTGAGTCGGGAGTCTGTCGAAGCAGGATCTTGATTTATTCCAACACACAGGAACTTATATAGGGCTGAGGTAGGGGATGGGAATCTTAGGATAGGGTCAGGTGACGTGAGGAGTTAAGGGCCAATAGTATTCCACCAAGCAGGCAGGTAGCTAGGCAGGGGGCAATCTTGCATCAGATCTGGCTGAGTCACCCCCACGTAGAAGTTACAGGTTAGAGACAGGTCGCCAAACTCTAGCCAGACTCAGGAGCTTACACTGGGCCTCACATCCGAGCCTTTCTTAGGCCCAACACTCTGCTGTATTTTGAATGAGAATGGCCCGCAGTCGCCAGGGCGTGGGACTGTTTGAAAGGATTAGAAGGATTCGAAGGTGTGCCTCTGGGGGTTTCACAATCCCACACCAGGCCCAGGCTCTCTCCTCTTCTGCCTGTGCATCAGGATGTGGAGCTCAGTTACCTCTTGAGCACCACACCTGTCTGCTTCCCTGATGACAATGGGACTAACCTCTGACACTGTAAGCATGCCGCCAATTAATTGTTTTCTCTTATGAGAGCTGCCTTGGTCATGCGTCTCTTCACAGCAGTAGGAGAGTGACTAAGACACCTATTCTAAACTCTTGAAACCACAGGCACCCCCATCCCAGTCACCAGCCTTTCCTAGCCTGTGTTTCAGGGATCTGCAGCTGTGTCCTGTTGCCTCATGAACGATCTCCACTCTGGCAAGGCCTCCAATGCGACTTAGTAGAGACAGCATTGGGACTTCCTCCCTGAAACAGGTTTCCTTCCACCCAGGCCAAGGTGTGATTTCCCTGGCATTTAACCAGGGTGTGCTGTGTGTGCCCCTTGCCCTGGATGTGTGTATTGCTGATTTTTGATCATGCACCATGTCCTAGTTAGGGTTACTATTGCTGAGATGAAACACCATGATCAAAAGTGTATTGGGGAGGAAAGAGTTTATTTGGTTTATACTTCACATCCAAGTCCATCACTGAAGTCAGGGCAGGAGCTCATACAGGGCAGGAACCTGGAGGCAGGGACTGATGCAGGGGTCACAGAGGGGGGCTGCTCACTGGATTTCTCATCACAGCTAGCTCAGCCTGCTTTATTATAGAACCCAAGACCACCACCCAGCGGTGGCCCCTCCTACAGTGGGTTGGGCCCTCTCCCATCAATCACTAACTAAGAAAATGGTCTTTGGCCCAATCTGTTTTTGTTTTTCAAGACAGGGTTTCTCTTTGTAGCTGTCTGTCCTGGAACTCGCTCTATAGACCAACCTGACCGTGAACTCTCAGAGGTCCACTTGCTCTGCCTCCTGAGTACTGGGACTAAAGGTGTTAAAGGTATGCACCACCACTGCCCAGCAAGTAAAGTGTGTTGAGCTCAGAGTCTTTTTTTGTTTGTTTGTTTTTCTAGACAGGTTTCGCTGTGGCTTTGGAGGCTGTCCTGGAACTAGCTCTTATAGATCAGGCTGGTCTCAAACTCAGAGATCTGCCTGCCTCTGCCTCCCAAGTGCTGGGATTAAAGGCGTGCACCACCACCACCTTTTTTTTTTTTAAGAGTCTCTTTTTAAGCTTTATTTTACTCATATGAGTGCTTTACCTGCACATTTCTGTCTGTGCACATGAATGCCTTGTGCCTGAGGAAGCAGTGAACCTCCGTCTGGGTGCTGGGAATTAAACCAAGGTCCTTCAAAAGAACAAACACCCTTAACCACTGAACCAACTCTCTTATCTCCTCTCTTCCTGCCTTTATGTGGCTTCTGGGGATCAAATTCAGGTCATGTGGCCTTCACAAGTGATTTATCACAGGGTCGTTGGACTGGCCCATACTATCCTTGAACCCTCAAGTCTTCTTACTCAGTCTCCCGAGTGCCGGGATTACAGGTGTGCACCACCACACTTGGAGTCAGCGTATCTGAGAGTACGGGCCGCCAGTTTCTGGCACTTGGCAGGTGTTCACTGAGTGTCAACTGACTACAGGAGAACTGAATGACTTAAGTCAGCCTTTCCAGCCTTTTGGAATAGTGGTGTCAGACTGGCCCACTGTCTGCCCCTGGTTCTTTCCCTGCCTGCTCTCTGTCATGATGCATCTAACGGCCGCAGGAGCACATAGGAGAGATGCTTGCCTGGGATCCAGGCCGTCCTCAGTGCCAATAAGAGAACCGGTGTGGGGTGGAGTCCCTGGGTATGAGAAAGCCCCTTCCCTGGCTCCTGAGAAGCCCCTTCGACTGTCCCACCCAGGATTCACCCGTAACCTTGGGTCCTTTCTGCTCTCCTGACACAGATACTATGTGGAGCCCAGGCCCCAGCAGGGAACATACTTTTAAATGAATAAAATCTCAAAAGGTCATGATGGAGCCCAGTTATATTGAAACACAGTTAACAGACATTTTTGGTATGTAATATATATGTTTCTTTATTAACATGTTAAAAACAAGGAAAGTCTAACAACTATGATCATTTCAAAGTAGTGAGGAATAAATGGTATTTGGAGATATAAAGCAGTCTGAAAACACCCGGGATTTCTGCTGGCTACAAAGTCACAGGTACTGTTAACGCTATTGTGGCCTGTTGCCCAAGAACATAGGGAATGCTAAGTTTGTCACAGGTGAGTGAAAATAAAGATGTCATTTTTTTCCTATCTAGGTTCACAAATCCCCTGAAATCCTTGGACCCAGCCAAAAGCCTCTGACTACAGCATCGAAACACCAGCCCGAGCCTTGACCCCCATACACGGGCTCTGGGCAGCCAGACCCTTAACCCCCATACACGGGCCCTGGGAAACGGGCACTCAAGCCATTTTCTCTGTGGGAAGCCTGAGCCTAGAAAAGTTAAGAAATCTGTCCAAAGTCACTCAGGCTCAACTTGAAGCTCTGTCCGTCTCTCCACACAGAGCTGGACCCTATGACTAGGTACTCCATGGACTCTGAGCTAGAATGCCCTGCTCTCCCTGGACCTGAGCCCTATAGGGTTCTGCCAGTGAAACAGAGGGACATGAGCCTTGAAACCACACACACTCAGTTATTTTTATCTCCAGTTTATTTTTTTAGACTAAGAGCAGAGTATGAAAGTCACAGCCAAAGCACTTGAAAAAGGCCCAGGATGGGGTGGGCGGGGCAAGGTCCTGGGAGCTGGTTCCTGGCTCAGGGTTGGAAGGGAGGGGGCATTGTTGTTACGGTCTCCAAAAGTGTCTGTGCGTTGCATAGGTCCTGTCTTCACAGAAGACAAAAGAGGGGCCAGGGGGTCCCAGGGGGGCCTAACCTGGTGGGGAAGGGGTCTGAATCTGGAAGGGGAGTCAAGAGAGCTCAAGGTTAAGGAGGGAAGGGACTCTGTCTGTCTGTACATTATATATAGAGATATAGTGTCTGTACATGCCTGTCTGGCACCCCAATGCCCACCCCTGTCCACTGCCTGCTCCCCCAGGGGTGTCTATTTGTAAACTTGGATTCAATCCAAACCACAGTTCTCTGTGTGGGAGGGAGAAGATGCTTATTGCTGTAAACAGGGGAAGGGGTAGCCTGAGGCTCCGCCCCTCATCCATCTAGTCCCTTCCCCGTGTTCTGCCCCGGGCAGACTGACAGGGGACACCTCCCGTGCTTCACGTGGTCTCTCTGGGGCATGTGTGCCTCTGGGGGGGACAAAGAGGGAGGGCACGGGAGTCGGGGAAAGGTACCAGGGGCAGGGAGTCCTGAGCACTGTCTTGGTACCAAACACTACCAAAGCCACAGGCCACCTGGGACCTATGGCTGTCCCTGTGCCTGATCCACTACAGCGCCTGCCCTAGAGGGAGTGGGCAGGCGCGGGTAGACAGATGTTCAGTGCAGACCCCACTCCCCAGCCATGGAAAGAAAGATGCAGGCTCCACAGCTGACTCCCTGCTCCTTCTCAGCCCCGCCCCACCTCTCTCCGTCACAGGAAGGCAGAGCTAGGAGGCCAAGAGTGTCATGAGAGAGAAGGCGATGCCCACGGCCAGAGGCAGATGCTCCCGCTTGGGGCTGGTTCCGCTGATACTCTTCTCAAGCTTGGGCACCTGGGGGCTCTCTCCCTCAAAGTCTTCTGTGGAAACAGAAACAGACAGACTGGTGAGGGCCGGGCTGTGCGCTGGGGCGGGGGGGCACGCGGCGGCGGCGGCAGCAGCAGCGGGGGCCAGGGATGTGACCACCCACGGGAGCGGGAGGGGCAGGAAGGACTGGGGTCCCAAGGGAAGGCATGCGAAAAAAGCAGGCACCGGGAAGGGGGCTGCGGTTCCGGCAGTGGCCACCAGAGGGCGCTGCGCAGACTCACCCAACACGTTGATCTTCACATTGGGGCCCATGGTGAACTGGGGGAGAGTGGGGACCGGCTTCTCCCCGGAGTGCGATGCTGCGGGGTGGGGTGCGGGTGGGGAGAGAGGAGGGGAAAGTCAGGGCCAGGACCCCCTCCCCCCTGCTACAGCTGGGGAGCTAATCCCGGTCGCCTGTGCCCTCCGCCCCCATCCCCAGGGAGCCGAGGGAGCCCCAAAGCAGGGAGGCGAGGATGCGGCCGTGGCTGGAAGCCGACGCTACTCACTGGAGGCACAGCAGACGAACACCTTCATCCTCAGACACTTCCAGTGCAGGTTGTGAGTGGGCGTGGCTGGGGAGGAGACTGGGCTGAGTTGCTCTCCCTCACTTGGTTCCCTTGAGATCTTAGACTCTCACCTCCCTCCAAACTGCCCGCTTCCAGATACGGCCCCGAGTAACCGCCCCATTCTTTGGACAGTGGTCACCATGGCTCTGCAGCCAGCACAACTCAAAGTGCCCGTAAGAGAAGTTACTCTGAAGCCCAAATGTGCGGCTGTCACCGACCCCTTTCCCGGTCCTCGCAACCCCTTAGAGACGTAAGCCTTATCCCTGGTGACCATCCCTGGGATCCTACCCTGACGCCCATAGACCGAGGACCCGGCACTCACAGATATAGTAGTACTCTTGGCCGGCATGGAATTCATATCCCAGCGAGAAGGCGCTGTAGCGCTGGAACTTCTCGGAGAACTTGATGGGGCTGTGCGAGGCATGCTGCCGGTTGCATTCCCAGCGCTTGGAACCTTGGCTGGCGTTGCACGTGCGGTAGCCGCTCAGGTTCACCATGTACAGCACGTACTGCTCTGCCCCGCCGCCAGGCCCTGAGCTGTTGTAGTGCGGACAGTAAATATCGAGATAGTCGTTGACGTTCACCTGCACCGTGTAGCCCTCTCTTCGAAGGCTGTGGACAAATGCAGCGGGTCAAAGAAGAAACCCCAACGCTCTAAGGCTTCCCATGGCGCTACTTCGCAGACCTTAGTTAGGACAGTTTAGTTCATATACAGAGTGTGTTTTGATCATAAAAATCGTAAGGATTCACTCCCCAGACTCTTAGCTTTTCCTACAATCTTTTCTCAGGCCCTTTCTGTCCCCAGAGTCCAATGTGCCAGGCCCCTGTACTGAGTCCTCTCCTTTCTGGCCTGTCCTTCTCCTGGTGGCCACCAGAGGGTAGCAAAGGCACAAGGAAGAGAGGGAGAGGGCGGAGGAAAGAAGGAGCCTAGCTCTGGTTGCCACAGAAACGGCGCAGGCCCCAACGACTCCCAGACCCAGGCCCGGATATCCTCAGTCCATTCCCCATAATACCCCAGGCCGAGGAATGGAAAGCGGAGAGACCCCTGCCTTGGAAAACAAACCCTCTCATCGGTTCTCCCAGCATGCCTTCTTGCTGCAGCAGGTCCACCCCCCCAGGCCAGTCCGACAGGACTTGCCCTCATACACGCATGTAAGTAGCTTCATGCACACACATGCACAAGTTCTATGGCACAAACACAAAAATGTCCACCGCCCACTCAGAGGCGGCAGATACTCACAAAAGCTAGACTGCATGTGTACTGAGCCCGTGCTAGTATTAGCCGGCTCGGCCATCTCAGAGCTGCCCCTGTGTTCCCTAAGTGACAAGACCTCTGCTTTTGAGTCCCGTTTACCTCCACCCTGAGACCATGGACACTTTAGTCCTCAGTAATGTGACACAGATCAGGGGACTGAGGAGTTCAGCATCAAGGCCCTACCTGTGATCATGCTAAGACGTCTGTGTCATTTCACACCGCCTGTCTCAAATGTCACTGCACACACACACACACGCACACACACACACACACACACAGTGATAATGCTAGACAGCACTGGGAACGTAGGGCCTCTGTGTCTGTCACTTTCCAGAGGAGTTTCTGGGACAGAGAAGCAGATACTGGGTCCCCAGCAACCCCACCTGCCTGTTGGTCCCCATCTAAATGCTGACCTGGACCTCAATGCCAAAGTGTGCAGGAGCTGGTAGGTGCTTCCCTCAGCCTCTTCGGGGAGTGTGCGCACATGTGGGCAGTGGTTCGGAAGTACGCTGGGTTACCCGGTGAGACCACAAGCTCCCGGGGTCCTGGGAACTCCCCGAGGGGAGGAACTGACTCTCCCAGTTCCACAGACAGCAATCAGACACATGAGCTTGGAGACCTCTTCACTGGATGGGGCCCCAAGGGTCCTCCCGGACACGGCCCGGCCTCACTGGACACACCTGTGCTGCCCCCTCCTCAGGACTAGCGATGAGGCAGATGGGTAACAGCTGGCGTTTGGACTCTCCAGTAAGAGCCGGCACAGCCTTCCTGAGTCACCAGGAATGCCACCAGTCCCACTTGGTTCCCATGGGAGTGATGGGTCACTCGGGCCCCTCCCTGTCCCTGGCACTCAGGTGGGCAGGAGTCTCGACGGGCGCCGAGAGCAGGAAAACGGGTTAGACAAGGCCTGGTTGCTCCCAGCCACCACCCATGCATGCATTGTACATCCACCCCAACCCCAGTCTCCCGTTCCTTCCCTAAGGTCCTGGGGAAGGGGCCACCAGCCAGCCAGCACAGGGTGCCAGCCCGGGAGCAGCCCCGTGGCTACCCTGGAGCCTTGTTCCTTCAGCCTCACCCAGGTGCTCGGTCTGATTTTGAAGCAGCCCCTCCCTGCAGTCACACACCCCATTACGACAGGGAGCAAGTCAACTCCAGAGATATTCCCACAGGTGGCACCTCAGTTTCCTCAAGAGGGTGGGTTCAGTATTTTAGGTGGTTGCTGTGTGACCACAGGAAAAGTCGACACCTCTAACCTATCCCTGTGATTGGTGGTGGAAAAGCCTCAGAAACGCCCCCCCCCGGTCATGTAGGTCAAAACCTGATGGCAAGTTAGCTGTGTCCATTGGTACCTGGTGGATAGAGCGAGAAGGCTGGGCGCCAGGAATCCCAAACCATAACTCCTAGGAGAACCGACCTGTCTGTTAGGCACAGCCTCTTTAATTGAATCTGTCATCCTCCTTAGCCCAGCAGTGAAGGCAAGGTGCACACAGGCCCCAGCAGAGCTTCGCAGCTAACCCCGCCTCCAGGGCTACCCCCCTCCCGCGCTCCGCGGAGGGTGGGCTAGCATCTGGGGACTGGGTTGTGCCCTGCTCCTTCAGGGAGTTCTCCACTCTTCCCTCCATTTTATTCCCGTGTTGCTTCCCACTTCTCTCGCAGAAACATCGTCACCGTTCTTCTACAGGGCTTACCCCCTAACCCGGTTACTTCGTCCCTCCCGGCCTGCAACACCGCATCCCAAATCTCCTACAGCGCCCCGGCTTCCCAGGCCTGCGGAACTCAGCCTTCAGTGTCTGCCGGGCACAGGACAGGAGGTGGGGGAGCGGGGAAGGAGCAAACGTCTCCTCCTGGGGCAATTAGGGGCAGGTAAACAGGGTGTCTAACAAGACCTGGGAGAAGGGAAAGGCTCCCAAGAGATCCTGAAGTTGTCAAACCCTTATCCTCGGCTTTAGAAGCCAAGATGCGGAGTTAAGAGAGCGGAGGAAAAATGCAGAGACCAGGTTCTTTCCCTCTGGTGCGCGCCCCCGAGGCCGCGCGCCGCCCGTTCCAGCAGGCGAGGCCCAACCACGTGCGCGCGGCGTGGAGTCCGCGCGCGGGGCTGCGGGCCGGGGGTGGGCAGCGGCGGCGGGAACGCTCCTAGGGCGGCGCGTGCACACCGACACCCCCGCGCCCCGCCAGCTCCGGCCTGGTGGAGCGGCGGCGCGCCGGTCACCCCCGCCCCTCGACCCTGCGACAGCAGCGACAGTAGCGGCGGCGAAGGTTTATTGATCTGCAGCGGCGGAGAAGAGCGAGGACCCGCCGAAAGCGAGACACACGGAGATGGAAAGACTCTGCCACGCACAGAGGGGAGGCGAACACACAGGCGGATTCGCCCGAGAGGGGAAAGGGAGGGAGCCAGAGCCAAACAGGGGGAGCCAGACACCGGGAGAGGGAGGAAGGGAATGAGAACCGAGCAAGGCTCGGCTTCGGATCCGGAGAGGCCCGCAGCACAGGCACAAGGTGGGAAGGAAATCGGGACACGCCGGCGACCGGACGAACACAGACCTCCACGGGCGTAGTAGAGATCTCAATAAATATGTGTTGAATGAATGCGTGAATGAAAGCGATCAGCAGCAGCAGCGTTTCCAAGATAGGCAGGGAGACCACAGGAAAAAGATGCTCTTGAGGCGAGTACCAACACCTCCGTTTAGTGGAAAGGAGCGACGCTGGCAAGAGGGACACACGCATGCTGGGCCCTCTCCCCGCCCCACTCGGTGCCCGGCGGCTCAGGAGACCCCGGCCTCACTCTCGTCGCCCCCTCCAGCAAGGCTGCTCCCACCGCGTCCTAGTTTCCGGGCCGGGTTAGGTAAAGGTCTCGCCTGTTCCCAGGGACTAACTCAAGGGGCTGCGTGGGGGAAGGGGTGCAGAAGGCGAGGTTCCCAGGGCCGAGCCAGCCGCCCCAGGTCTGTCGGCGGGGGCCACCGCGGGTCTGTCAAAAGAGGGGACCGCACGTGTCCCACCAGCACCCTCCCACGTGACCCCGAGAGGCGGGGTCGCAGACCCTCCCCCACGTGACCCCAAGGGGCAGAGACCCTCTGCACGTGACGGGAGGTGGGAGCCGGGAGCCCGGGTCACGTGACTGGAGGGGGGGCCTGGGAGCCTGTGGCTCGGCCGGCCCCGCCCCCAGCTCCCCGGCCCTCTCCACTCCCGGCTCTGGAGCACGTCGCTCTCACGATTTATGGGGCCGCGGATGCCGCAGTGAGAGCCGGGGAGCCCGGGCGCAGCGGCAACAAAGGCCCGGGAAGCGGGGCGGGGGGCGGCAGCGGCCTCCCGGCCGAGTGTGCGCCGCCTCCCACCTCCGTCGGTCCCCGCCCGCACGGGAGTGGAGAGGGCGAAAGGAGGTTCTGGGAACCCGGCTCTGCCATCCCGTTCCGGAGCTTTCACCTGCGCCCAGGTGTACGCGGGGGAGGGGAGCCCGATCGGCGCTCCCCTCAAGGCTATTCCCACACCCACTAGGCTCTGGCATCTGCGGCCAGGGGAGTTCCCCAAGGGTGGCGGGGAACCCGGGGTCTCTCACCTGCGAGCCCGCGGCTCGTGCCAGACTGGAGCGGGGCGGGGGGCGGGCGTGTGAATCTCAGGGAGGGGGGGTGAGCCAGATACAGCAAAGCAGGGTAGTCAGCCCTCAGCGCCCCCCGGGAGGGCTGGAGTCCCGCTCCGGGGGGGAGGGGCTGCAACCCCACCCCCGAGGTTTCCATGGGAAGCAAGAGGGGGGCGTCATTAGCTCATCCCCACCCCCAGTCTGACACTCCGGGCGCGAGGAGGAAGAGGGGGCGGCGCAGAGCCCCAAACAACAAAGAGCGGAGCAGCAAGCAGGAGCCCCTCCCCCCGGAAGGTTGGGGGTCGCGGTCCAGGCCCTTCAGGTCCCCTCCCCTGGGGTCTCACCATTTGTTCCCTAGCCGGCCCCCAGGGCGGGGAGTCAGAAGCAGAGCTGCCGCCACCGCCCGGGCAGGTGTGACAGTGATCCCCGCGTCCCCAGGGATCCCCCTACCAACACACCGAGGTGGCCCGAGTGCCACACACGGCCGCTCGGCGGGGAGAGGACAAGGGCAGCAAGGACTGTGCGGAAGGGAAGCCGGACCCGCAGCCGGCCCCGGGCCGCCGCGCCACACGCCGGAGGAAACCACACGGCCGCCCTGACACCCGCCCAGACCGCGGCGGCGCCGACAGCCACCCCGGCCCAGACAGGACTGGCCACGCGGACACCGACCGCAGCCCCCTCCCCGGCCCGCCGCCCGCCCCCACCCCTAGACGGTCGCCGACGCAGACACACAAATCACACACAGACACACGCACACTGACAGCCGCGCACGCCCGCTCACACTCGGTGCCGTCCGCCGTCCCTAGCCTCAGCGTGTGCGTGTGTGCGCGCGTGTGTGTGTGACACGCCGACATCTCTGCCTTCCTGCTCACTAGTACCCTCCGTTCCCAGGGGCCCCCAACTCGGCGACCCTGCCCGGGCTCATCCCAGCAGGGCTGATCCACACAACCAGAGCAGCCCATTCGCCTTCGTTCTGGGGAGGTGGCGGATTGTACTTCCTGCCTTAATGCCGAACCCCACTTTAAAAAGCAAGAGTCTTAGGCAAAACCCCATCAGCGTTTATAGGCTGAAAACAGGTCATCCTTGGGCTCCCAAATACAGCGGCCTATCCCCAGCACACCGGCACCCCAGACTCCAACCTAGCCAAAGGGAGTGTGCATGGTGGGGGGACTGTGGGGCAGGGGACACCTTTCCAGGGGCGAGTGTGGAAAGGAACCAAGATGGGGCTGGGGCCCCCCAGCAGCCTCCTCCACACGACCGGCGCGCTCCTCACTGTGCCCCAACAGCTTCTCAGACACCCCCTACTTTCACAGACGCCCACATAGTGCGCCCCCTCTCCCTCGCCTCCCAGCACCGAGCCCGTCTCCCAGGACTGCCGCCAGGTTCCCCCAGGACTTCTAGGGCCCACCAGCTCCCCCATCACTGACGCGGGACGCACGGGCTCTCCGGGTCCCCGACTCACTGCTGGTTGGAGCTGTTCCAATATACCGCATGCCGGTTTCCCAGCGCGCCCCCAGGCCCCTGGGCCAGCAGCGGCAGCAGCGGCACGGGCACGAGCAGCAGCAGCAGCAGCAGCGGAGCCGCCGCCATCCCCGGAGCCGCCGCCGCCGCCGCCCCCCGACTGAGCCCCGCGCTCCCGGCTTCTCAGCTTCCCAGCTCCCTGCTGCCGCTGCCGCCAGCCCCCAACCTTAGCCACGCCCACAAGCCTTCCCTCCGCCCTCCTGGGCGCGCCCCCGAGGCCCCGCCCCTGGCGCGCTCACGCCGGGCTCCGCCCCACTTGAGCCCAGAGCGCGCCGCCCGTGGGCGACGGGAACTGTGTTGCCCCTCTAGGAACAAGGTTCCTCTCCTCTCTCCTAGGTGATTTGCTGCAAAGGCTTGCGTCTTTTGCTCCCCCAGAAAGATTTGGGAGCCAAGACCCGCACGCATATCCATCTGTGTAGATCCACACCTTCCGTCTTGAAGTGCAGGAGTGTTGGGGAGGGAAGGTCTACCTCTGAATAAGCAGGACTAGACCATGTCTGAACGAAGTTGGACCTCTGCTGCTTCCACACCCTTCCCATGTGCACGAGGAGTTAAATGGACACATGATGGGGAAGCCCTCAGGTGGCACCCGGGAGCTACCAGCTGGCTGCCTGAAGGCCCGCAGCTGAGCATGAGGGCTTGTTTTTCTTGGAGCCAAGGCAGAGAAACTCAACCCTAAGAATGTTACCTTCTGGGGGCTGGGCACAGCAACTCACTCTTCAACCCTGGCACTCTGGAGGCCGAGGGAGTCTCTGTGAGTTCGAGGCCAGCTGCGTAGGTCTGTATAGGGCTACATAGTGAGACCCTGTCTCCACAACAAGCGAAAAAGGCCTACTTGGGTAATCCAGGGCAAAAGTTTGGCAGTAGTGGTGCTGTAACAAGGTGGAAGCCAGCTGGAGCCAAGCGGGAATGGAGTGGTCTTCTTGGCAGGCCAACAAAGGCCGCTCGCCGCGTCCAGTTCCCTCAGCAATACTCGTTCCTGCTCCCATAGACGCTTTCTCTTAGGACAGCGGGCACCTTGTGTTCCAGCTCTCCCGCAGTCATTGTCTTAGTGGGGACATCCAAGCACAGACATGACATACACACAGCGAGGGGGAAAAGAAACGTATGCATACTCAGAATCAGGACGCATAAAGACTGGACACTTACTGACATCCAGACTGACAGACCACACACAAGGTGCTACCATAACTAGAGAAGACACTGGTAGAAACATAGGCCGACAGACTCACAGAGACTTCAAAGTACACACACACACACACACTCTCTCTCTCTCTCTCTCTCTCTCTCTCTCTCTCTCTCTCTCTCTCTCTCTCTCTCTCCTCCCTAGCAAACTGGCTACCCCTCTCACAAAGGGTCCAGAACCAGACATAGTAGGAATTCAGCCCTTTTCTCTTTCCTAGAAGCCTATACTGAAGGGCAAAGCAGAACCAGGCCTGACTGGGTTCTCAGGACCCTTAGCAGCTGTGCCCAGGGAGGCAGGCATGATGTTATTTTGCTGTGCTTCAAGAGGCAGGACTGATAACTGCACCCTGTATCTGTTTACCTCTGGCGGTACAAGACCTTGACTACAAGCCTGCCTTGGGTGTTAAGTTTGGAGGAGGGGCACTGCACGCACTGCAGGCTCTATGCCTCCCTGCTGCTAGGCAAGAGTGGGTGCTCTTCTCTCTGGGCACCTCTCCACTCCCGGGAGATATCTTCTCTCTTCTTGGGAGTCAGAAAATAAATGAGGCCCTTGGGATGGGAGTGAGGGACTGCAAACAGCTCTCTTCATTCCCAAAGAGGTTTACTTCACCCCAATAATGCTAACCTGCATACCTCAGAGACCACAAGTTCTAGGCCCTGCCCCTTCAGGCCATGCCTCTGATCCACAGAGGCAAGCTTCTCTCTGTATGGGAGAGTGGCCAGGGAGCCTTCCATGGGCACAGGAAGTGCAGGCTGGCTGTATTAGTCCAGGACTTTGAACCCCATTTTTGAAAACCTAGATTCCTGGTTCCAGAATCTGCATTCCAAGCTGGGAACGTACTTATTGGTAGAGCATTTTTATGTGACCCTAGGTTCAATCTCTATTATGGTAAAAATAAATGAATAATAAAACCTGGCTTTTATTTAAAGATTTGGGTGACTTGGGCCCCATACTCTAGAGCCCAGATGTTTCTCTTTAGAATGTACCACTCCATCCCACCTTCTCCCTCCAACAGATCATAAAGCTTCGTAGTGGGAGAGGTGGCTCAGAGGTGGAGAGCATCTGTTACTCTTCCAGAGGATCCATGTTTGATTCCCAGCACCCACATCAGATGGTTCACAAATGCCTGTAACTCCAGTTCCAGTGGATCTGATACCTTCTTCTGGAATCCCACACCCACATAATTAAAAATAAATAGAAAAAAGGGAGCCCTTTCCTCTGAACCAGGGGCCTTCTCTGTTTAAGCCTGGGTTTAAGATCATCCTTCTCTCACTGGCCAAAATCTGACTTTCAAGTTCAGACACTGTGTGGGGTCTGTGTCGGTGGGATCTGGTCCTCTGGTACCCAGGCTTCTGTCCATGCAGGTACTGGCTGATTTGAGCTTTGGTATGCATCACCAAAAAGTACCCTTGGCAAGTGATGCCTTTGTGCTAAAGCAAAGGTACCGCTTCCTTTGGTAGGAAGAGGGCTATGTGTCTCTCCATCTCAGTAGGGAGCTAAGGTCAGCCTTGTCTTCTGGCCTTCGCTGTAGTTTTCGTAGCAAGTGCAGACTTTATAACTGCATGTGCTGTATGTGGCAGTTCTGTCTACAGAATGTGCAGTATGTGCACCTCCAGCTACAGTGCTGTTCAGAAGCCTCAAGGGAACTGAGAGCGGATTTATTTCTTTTTATTTGCTTATTTATTTATTTAGTTATCTGAGACAGGGTCTCTTTGTATCCCTGGCTGAATTCACTAGGTAGATCAGGCTAGCCTCAAACACCTGCCTGTTTCTCCAATGCTGTGATTAGAGGCATGTGCCACTTAGCCTGGCTGGGACTGGGATTCTTGAAGGACTAGGTCTCTGCACATGAGATCTGAGCTGCTGTTATGCCTAGGGCCTGTGGCATCTGGGTCAGAAGTCCTGTGTCTGCAGGGGGTAGCCCTTTGTTTACATCTGTGGCTCCGATCATATATGTCATTCTTGACTGACCCAAAGTAGGATGGGTGATCTGCTTGGCACTGCCATCTGGTATGCATGTGCATGACACACCCACAGCACCGCTGGGTGTGGCATGGAGCAGAAGCGGAGGGTTCTCAAAGCAATACTCACCCTGCTACAGAGGCTGTATCCTCAGTCTCCCTCTGTTTCATTCTTTAAAGTGTGCTTGGCGCTGAAGAGATGGCTCGGCAGTGAAGAACACTTGTTACCCTTGCAAAGGACCTGGGTTCAATTCTCAGCACCCACATGGCAGCTTGTATCCACCTCTGATTCCAGTTCCATGGGATCCTACCCCCTCTTCTGGTCTCTTCAGGGACCAGGTATACACATACCTGGTAAAACATGTAGGTAAAACACCCACATACATAAAATTATGAAATAATTGTTTTGTTTGTTTGAGACAGGGTCTTACTGTGTAGCCCTGGCTGTCCTAGAACTCCCTATGAAGACAAGGCTAGCCTTGAACTCACAGAGATCCATCAACTTCTGCCTCCTCAGTGCTGAGATTGAAGGCATATACCAAAAGTTCAAGGTTGAGCCCAACCTAGGCTAAATGAGACCTTGTCTCAAAGTAATAATAGTGATGATTAAGCTGCCTGAGACTAAGAAACTCAGTTCCTTGTTCCCTCTCCCACAGCAGGCCACAGACTGAAGTGTGAAACTCAGAAACATCAGGCCTGACTCTAATCTGTTGTCAGTGAAGCTGGCGTTTTCTCCGTGGGCCTGGTCCTCTCTCTGGGCCTCAGGCTCCTCTCACATAGAGGCTTTGCCTTCTAGTCCTATTGGCCTTGGGGCTGACTGCCATGATCTCCCTACGAGCACTGAACCCAGACTCCCAGGAAATTCTTACAAGGTGCTCCATTCTCTCCATCCCGGGGGTCCAAGGAATCCGGAAGCTGAGCAGGACTGGGGCACAGGGAGCACTCAGGCTGTGTAGCCCAAGGCAGCTCCCAGGACATTGGGTAGCAACCACAGAGCTGAGTTTATTTCAATAAATCATAGAGGCTAGGGCCTGGGGGAGGGGAAGGCTGGGAGGGGAGGGGGCTGGATAAATAATTCATTAAACAAATAAACAAGGAGCCTGTGAGAGGGAAGCTTGGGCATGGTGTGAGCAGCAGCCGCCGCCGCCAGCTCCTGACATGAAATATTCACGGGCTCTGCACCTCTCACAGGGTCATGAGTGTTGAGCTGAGTGTGTACCACAGACACCTGGGTACGGTGGTGTGGGGCCAGGCAGGTGCCTTCGCCTTCTGACTTCCGAGTGTGTGTGTGTGTCCACATGGCCCTGTGGTACGCCGGACTATCTGGGATGACATGGAGTCACACATGTGACTGACACATGGGAGAAAAAAAGTATGAATGACAGCATGGAACGTAGTACCCCAACTTTGTCTAGGATCCAGAAAATTAGGATGCAAGGCTCGGTTGGTGGGGTCAAAGTATAACAACCTCAATCCTACAGCATGCCCTGATCCCTCTACTGGGCCTAGCAAGGGATTGGGAGGTGTGGTAGTGACATCTCTGGGGTGTTACGTTAGAATTGCATGGACTCTGGTGGTACTTGAAGGAGGAAACATGTACAGTGTCTGCGTGAACCTACTACTCAGTGGCTTGTCTGTCTCTTAGCTTCTCTTGGACTGCTTTTCTCGTCTCTCCAGTGGGGCTAATAATACCCTCCCTACTTGAGAAGTTGCTTGTTGCAAAGATCAAGATCCACACTCTCTGGGAAGCACTTAGCACAGTGCTTAGGGCCCGAGAGATGCTTGATTAATGGAGGCTTCATCAGAGTCCTTATTAAGAGCTTACCTCCTTGTTCTGCCCACCTAGACCAGCCCAGGATCCCTTTCCTATTGCTTACCTAATTTTAGAGCTTGCCTGACAACCATCACAGAGATAAAGATAACCTAGGGCTTGGAGAGTAGGAGGGGAGAGACACATTTTTAAA